ATAATAAGAAGACGGTCACTGCAACTGACACCATAGACTTCTGCGGCTTTCGACTTACTAAAGGTCACTTCACTCCATGTCCATCGCGGAAGGATCTATCTAGAGAGGCCGCTGAGGCGGCATGGCTCGAGTTTGACGGCTTCATAAGGAATCGCGCGGAAAGACAGTGCGCATGGCTACGCTCGTGGACGGGACGCTTCCAAATCCTGAGAGGATGGTTGACTCCGGCTTTAATGGAGGATCTAAATAGTATCATACTATTAGTATGTGCAAATATATAAAAACTACTCAAAAAGGTGTCATGGTGCCCAACTTTAACGAGCAGTTGCATGGGGCATTCAAGCGCCTATGTGAGCATATCCTAGCTGGCCAGCTTCCACCGTTACGATTTGGCATACCGGGGGCATCATCTTTGGGCACCATCGTTTGCACCGATGCCAATAAGGAATCTTGGTCTGGCATCATCCTGAGAGTCTATGATGCGGGCTCCGGCAGCCAACAGTTTCCCACTAACGACGACCACCTGACCAACGCCATAACTGAACTATTATCTGTGCTCGAGTCGACTGGCCGCTATGAGAACATGACCTTAGCTGTCGAGCCACTACGAATATTGGGAGGGCGTTTCACGATGACTGAGTCAATCAGTTCGTCAACGTGGCGAGAACGGGCAGCTCAGTTAATCACTTTATCTGAAGGAAGAGCATACCTGAGCAGTCCCGTCACGATAGTGAGCGATAACATGAACGTCGGCCGTCGGTGGGGTGATGTGCAAGACACCTTTGGTGGCAAGTGGTTGCCTCTCGTTGACTTATACGATCGCACTGTTACAGATATGGTGTGGGTGCGTAGAGATGGATTCCCTGCATTCACGGATGCGCTGGCCAGAGTCTTCGCGGGGGGCGGACATGAGGGGGCGACCCCGGAACCCCCGGAATCGAGCGATCCTAAACTGCTGATCGACTCGGGCAGTATGGAGGTTGAGGTGGAACCTGGCTCTATGAGCTACGATGAAGATGAAGACGCAAGCGACGTCGACTCCCTGAATACGGATGAGCTCTCTGATAACCTTCCGAATGAAGATGAGATGGTCGATGTCGCTGCAGCGGTCATGGATAGCCGGAAGTCCGTCTATCTTAGTATCGGCGCGACCAAGTTTCTCGAGGAGGTTGAAGAAGCCCAGGCGAGAGACGACGAGAGCAGATATTTAGGGGTACGGCTATCCCGGGTGCGGCAGTATCTATCCGACGGTCACCTCGACAACGACGACAAAGTCACGGCAGAGCGCATCAAGAGAATCGCGGAGCGTTTTGTGCTACATGAGGGCATCATATTTTATCGGGGTAGGCCTGGTTTGAAGCTCTTTGTTCCGAGAGCTAAGACGAGAGAGTTGGCTTCGACGAAGTCAGAGTCACCGTGGATGAGATCGTGGATACTGTGTAA